CGGAGAGCTCGACACCACTGGGTTGCTTGCTGCTGGTCCGAGCTCGCCTGCTTCCTCCCCGGCATCGGTCGGGTCACGCCGGTCCTTGGGCATTGCCGCGGCGTCGCCGCCGTCACGGCCGGCTACCGCTGACTCGGCTACCGCTGACTCGGAGGCTAGCGAGGAGGACTACCTCGAGCGGTACCGTGTTCCTGTGTCCAGCCTCCCTCCGTCCGCTGCCCCAGGCGGACCCCCGGGCAACGCCGGCTCCTTGTCGGCGGCTGCCCTTTCTCCGTCCGCGGCCGCCCGCTTTGTTGCGGCAGCGGACGTCTCGACTGACAGTGGTCAGTCGGCTGCCTCCGGGTATCGCGTCTAAGGGATTTTATTCCTCCTGCATGCTCCTGCTGCTCATAGGATTTACTGGCAGAAGGTAAAAAGTGGGCCTCAAGCAAAACAAAGCAGGATCAAGCTGAACCGGCAGGCACACAGTCCACAGCGAGAAGCTGCTTGTTGCTGGATTGCTTGGCCCTTCGGCTGCTTGTCTGCGCGGCTTCGCGCTTGGGCTGGCGCTGCCGCGTCTGGGTGCCAGCAGTGCTGGTTCTTTTCGGGCTTGTGTTTTGTGTGTGTTTGTGCAGCTTCTCGCTGTGGACTGTGTGCCTGGAGGTTTAGGTTGTTCCTGCTTTGTTTTGCTTGAGGCACTGGTTAAATCCTATACCCTGTTTACCTTCTGCCAGTAAATCCTATGAAGCATTGAACAGCCGTGTTCATGTGTCCAGCCTCCCTCCGTCCGCTGCCCCAGGCGGACCCCCGGGCAACGCCGGCTCCTTGTCGGCGGCTGCCCTCTCTCAGGCACTTTTTACCTCATGCCAGTAAATCCGTATACTGCTCCGTCCGCGGCCGAAAAGCTGGCGGCCGCGGACGTCTCGACTGACAGTGATAGAATGGATTTACTGGCAGTGGTCAGTCGGCGGCCTCCGGGTATCGCGTCTAAGGGATTTTATTCCTCCTGCATGCTCCTGCTGCTTGTTGCTCCTCAGCGCCTCACTATGCAGCTGACGCTGGTGGCGCTCTTGTCTGGTGCGAGGCGCATAACGCCCTTGCGGGCGCAAGCACTTCTCGAGCCAGAGGACAGCTCGACGCCCTCCATGTTGCAGAGTATAGGATTTACTGGCAGAAGGTAAAAAGTGCCTCAAGCAAAACAAAGCAGGAACAAGCTAAACCTCCAGGCACACAGTCCACAGCGAGAAGCTGCACAAACACACACAAAACACAAGCCCGAAAAGAACCAGCACTGCTGGCTTTTTACCTTCAAGGCTGCCAGTAAATCCAGCACTGCTGGCACCCAGACGCGGCAGCGCCAGCCCAAGCGCGAAGCCGCGCAGACAAGCAGCCTAAGGGTCAAGCAATCAAGCAACAAGCAGCAGGAGCATGCAGGAGGAATAAAATCCCTTAGACGCGATACCCGGAGGCAGCCGACTGACCACTGTCAGTCGAGACGTCCGCTGCCGCCACAAAGCGGGCGGCCGCGGACGGAGAAAGGGCAGCCGCCGACAAGGAGCCGGCGCTGCCCGGGGGTCCGCCTGGGGCAGCGGACGGAGGGAGGCTGGACACAGGAACACGGTACCGCTCGAGGTAGTCCTCCTCGCTAGCCTCCGAGTCAGCGGTAGCTGAGCCGAGTCAGCGGTAGCCGCCCGTGACGGCGGCGACGCCGCGGCAATGCCCAAGGACCATCCTAGATCTGGGCGTGACCCGACCGATGCCGGGGAGGAAGCAGGCGAGCTCGGACCAGCAGCAAGCACCCCAGTGGTGTCGAGCTCTCCGGAGGCACCCGACGTCACAGTGAGGGACGGAGACGCCTCGCCAGCTCCGCGCCGATCGTCGGGGCCACTCGAAGGGTGTCCCCCATCGGAGTCGGAGACCTCCGGCGAAGACTCCTCGGGCGACTCGACAAAGTCCGAGGAGGAGCTGTCCTCTGGCTCGAGAAGTGCTTGCGCCCGCAAGGGCGTCATGCGCCTCGCACCAGACAAGAGCGCTTCCAGCGTCAGCTGCATGGTGAGGCGCTGATAGGTGGCGGCGCGTTTGCGAGCCAAGACCTCAGCAGCAGGTCCGTCATCAGGCACGAAGTGCCGACCAAACGCCGCATCCTCAAGAGGCATTGAGCGCTGAGGCACTTTTTACCTTCTGCCAGTAAATCCTATACTAGCGCTGAGCAATGATGTCCGCGAGATACCAGATGAAGCGGAGGGTGTCAGGATGCAGGGTACCGTCCGTCGAGATGGCAAGAGGGATGAACGCTCGAGGAGGAGTAGTCATGGCATATGCAGCGCGATGTTTGCGAATCTTCTCAGACGCTGCAACATGGAGGGCGTCGAGGTTGACCTCCCCCCACTTGGTCAGGTCGGCAGAGCTACCAATGTCCAATGTAAGGGTGGACCAACGTCACGTCCGCCATCAAGCCCTCGTACTGCTCGGACCCTCGATCGCGGATTCCAGGGATGTGGATATCGCCCTTCATCTTGCGGCCATGAGGATGGGAGGGTACCTGCCGTCGAGAACGAGGATCCCCCATTGTATCGATGACGCTCTGAAGACCAGCTTCGTTCAGCATCGACCGCTGACATCCATCACATTCCGTCGGACACAGTGGCAGATCGGCATGCCATGGAGATAGCAGTCGAGCATCTGAGCATAGCGGTGCGGGAAGGCCTTGAGGGATATAGGATTTACTGGCAGAAGATAAAAAGTGCCTCAAGCAAAACAAAGCAGGAACAAGCTGAACCGGCAGTTACATAGTCCACAGCGAGAAGCTGCACAAACACACACAAAACACAAGCCCGAAAAGAACCAGCACTGCTGGCACCCAGACGCGGCAGCGCCAGCCCAAGCGCGAAGCCGCGCAGACAAGCAGCCTAAGGGTCAAGCAATCAAGCAACAAGCAGCAGGAGCATGCAGGAGGAATAAAATCCCTTAGACGCGATACCCGGAGGCAGCCGACTGACCACTGTCAGTCGAGACGTCCGCTGCCGCCACAAAGCGGGCGGCCGCGGACGGAGAAAGGGCAGCCGCCGACAAGGAGCCGGCGCTGCCCGGGGGTCCGCCTGGGGCAGCGGACGGAGGGAGGCTGGACACAGGAACACGGTACCGCTCGAGGTAGTCCTCCTCGCTAGCCTCCGAGTCAGCGGTAGCCGAGTCAGCGGTAGCCGCCCGTGACGGCGGCGACGCCGCGGCAATGCCCAAGGACCGGCGTGACCCGACCGATGCCGGGGAGGAAGCAGGCGAGCTCGGACCAGCAGCAAGCACCCCAGTGGTGTCGAGCTCTCCGGAGGCACCCGACGTCACAGTGAGGGACGGAGACGCCTCGCCAGCTCCGCGCCGATCGTCGGGGCCACTCGAAGGGTGTCCCCCATCGGAGTCGGAGACCTCCGGCGAAGACTCCCCCTCGGATGACTCGACAAAGTCCGAGGAGGAGCTGTCCTCTGGCTCGAGAAGTGCTTGCGCCCGCAAGGGCGTCATGCGCCTCGCACCAGACAAGAGCGCTTCCAGCGTCAGCTGCATGGTGAGGCGCTGATAGGTGGCGGCGCGTTTGCGAGCCAAGACCTCAGCAGCAGGTCCGTCATCAGGCACGAAGTGCCGACCAAACGCCGCATCCTCAAGAGGCATTGAGCGCTGAGCAATGATGTCCGCGAGATACCAGATGAAGCGGAGGGTGTCAGGATGCAGGGTACCGTCCGTCGAGATGGCAAGAGGGATGAACGCTCGAGGAGGAGTAGTCATGGCATATGCAGCGCGATGTTTGCGAATCTTCTCAGACGCTGCAACATGGAGGGCGTCGAGGTTGACCTCCCCCCACTTGGTCAGGTCGGCAGAGCTACCAATGTAAGGGTGGACCAACGTCACGTCCGCCATCAAGCCCTCGTACTGCTCGGACCCTCGATCGCGGATTCCAGGGATGTGGATATCGCCCTTCATCTTGCGGCCATGAGGATGGGAGGGTACCTGCCGTCGAGAACGAGGATCCCCCACTGTATCGATGACGCTCTGAAGACCAGCTTCGTTCAGCATCGACCGAATCGTACGAGTAAGGTTGTCATGCGCCGTGGGAAGCTTGGAGGATCGGCGTTTGCAGGTCTGGAGATGATGTGCAGCAACGGAGGGATCGAGCTCGCGCTGACATCCATCACATTCCGTCGGACACTGGCAGATCGGCATGCCATGGAGATAGCAGTCGAGCATCTGAGCATAGCGGTGCGGGAAGGCCTTGAGGGGGTAGTAGCTCGAGACCCGCATCGGAGAGTGGCTCAGGTCTCGCTCAGGAAAATGAGCGAAGATGGTAGACTGCAAGACCCTATCCTGCGACTTGAGCGAGTGTGTCCTGCGGCTGTGCAAGGTGAGGATATCACGCTGCTGATCGGTTAGCGCAGCGCGAGCATGCACATGGCGAGGGAAGACGCGCATGACAAGAGGGGTCACATTTCGCTGCGCAGGCGGAGGAATGAAGTGCTCATGAGACGAGTCGACGAGAGCGCGCAAACCAGGGATGTGTACCACAGATGCCGGGGGGCGTCCTGCGTCATCCTCGGGCTTGTGTTTTGTGTGTGTTTGTGCAGCTTCTCGCTGTGGACTGTGTGCCTGCCGGTTCAGCTTGTTCCTGCATTTTTTTGCTTGAGGCACTTTTTACCTTCTGCCAATAATTCCTATGCCAAGGGTCATCAGGCACAGCAGCCGGGGCAGGTGGGATCGCCGCGCCATCTGCAGCCGGTGCAGGAGCCTTGACATGACGGTAGAGGATCGCTCCAGCATTATGAACGAAGTCGTGCGCCTCAACGAAGAAGGTCGCCAGAGGATGCTTCTGGGCACGGAGAGATCTCGAGCAGTGAACGTCCAGGCTATGAGGAGAGGGCAAGGTCCGGGACATGGGCTGGTCAGAGTACCAAGCGAGGAAGCGAGCGATAGCCGTATAGTAAACAGCGGGGTGTAGACCCTCAGAGGGCGTGAACTCGTCCCCTCCCCGACTATGCGGAAGCTCCCGCTTGAACCTCGCAAACTCTAGCAGGTCGGGATGCGCGGCGAGGTACTGCCGGGGAGGAAGCAGGCGAGCTCGGACCAGCTGCAAGCACCCCAGTGGTGTCGAGCTCTCCGGAGGCACCCGACGTCACAGTGAGGGACGGAGACGCCTCGCCAGCTCCGCGCCGATCGTCGGGGCCACTCGAAGGGTGTCCCCCATCGGAGTCGGAGACCTCCGGCGAAGACTCCTCGGGCGACTCGACAAAGTCCGAGGAGGAGCTGTCCTCTGGCTCGAGAAGTGCTTGCGCCCGCAAGGGCGTCATGCGCCTCGCACCAGACAAGAGCACTTCCAGCGTCAGCTGCATGGTGAGGCGCTGATAGGTGGCGGCGCGTTTGCGAGCCAAGACCTCAGCAGCAGGTCCGTCATCAGGCACGAAGTGCCGACCAAACGCCGCATCCTCAAGAGGCATTGAGCGCTGAGCAATGATGTCCGCGAGATACCAGATGAAGCGGAGGGTGTCAGGATGCAGGGTACCGTCCGTCGAGATGGCAAGAGGGATGAACGCTCGAGGAGGAGTAGTCATGGCATATGCAGCGCGATGTTTGCGAATCTTCTCAGACGCTGCAACATGGAGGGCGTCGAGGTTGACCTCCCCCCACTTGGTCAGGTCGGCAGAGCTACCAATGTAAGGGTGGACCAACGTCACGTCCGCCATCAAGCCCTCGTACTGCTCGGACCCTCGATCGCGGATTCCAGGGATGTGGATATCGCCCTTCATCTTGCGGCCATGAGGATGGGAGGGTACCTGCCGTCGAGAACGAGGATCCCCGACTGTATCGATGACGCTCTGAAGACCAGCTTCGTTCAGCATCGACCGAATCGTACGAGTAAGGTTGTCATGCGCCGTGGGAAGCTTGGAGGATCGGCGTATGCAGGTCTGGAGATGATGTGCAGCAACGGAGGGATCGAGCTCGCGCTGACATCCATCACATTCCGTCGGACACTGGCAGATCGGCATGCCATGGAGATAGCAGTCGAGCATCTGAGCATAGCGGTGCGGGAAGGCCTTGAGGGGGTAGTAGCTCGAGACTCGCATCGGAGAGTGGCTGAGGTCGGGGTAGTAAAATGAGCGAAGATGGTAGACTGCAAGACCCTATCCTGCGACTTGAGCGAGTGTGTCCTGCGGCTGTGCAAGGTGACTTGAGCGAGTGTGTCCTGCGGCTGTGCAAGGTGAGGATATCACGCTGCTGATCGGTCAGCGCAGCGCGAGCATGCACATGGCGAGGGAAGACGCGCATGACAAGAGGGGTCACATTTCGCTGCGCAGGCGGAGGAATGAAGTGCTCATGAGACGAGTCGACGAGAGCGCGCAAACCAGGGATGTGTATCGCATAGGATTTACTGGCAGAAGGTAAAAAGTGCCTCAAGCAAAACAAACAGGAACAAGCTAAACCTCCTGGCACACAGCGCACAGCGAGGAGCTGCACAAACACACACAATACACAAGCCCGAAAAGAACCAGCACTGCTGGCACCCAGACGCGGCATCGCCAGCCCAAGCGCGAAGCCGCGCAGACAAGCAGCCTAAGGGCCAAGCAATCAAGCAACAAGCAGCAGGAGCATGCAGGAGGAATAAAATCCCTTAGACGCGATACCCGGAGGCGGCCGAATGAAGTTTCAGTCGAGACGTCCGCCGCCGCCGCAAAGCGGGCGGCCGCGGACGGAGAAAGGGCAGCCGCCGACAAGGAGCCGGCGCTGCCCGGGGGTCCGCCTGGGGCAGCGATGCATCACTAGCCTCCGAGTCAGCGGTAGCCGAGACCAACACCACCCGTGACGGTGCCCAGGGACCGGGGCCGCGTGCGGCGGCGGCATCGGAGGCAGGCGAGCTCGGACCAGCAGCATGTGCACAACACAGCGAGAAGCTGCACAAACACACACAAAAAACAAGACCAGTCCAGGCGGCGGCGGTGGGATCCCCGCGCCATCCGCCGCAGCACTGAGGCCGAGGATCGCTCTAGCCTCAGCGGCGTTATGAACGCCGCCGCAGCAGTCACGCGGCCCAAGGACCCCGGGCGTCGGAGAATCGAATTAACAATATCATATGCCGACCGACCAATCTGGCTGGCCCGGAAAGGCTTGTTTTTCCTATTTCGACGAAGATCAATCAAACAAATTGTGGCTGGGATGAGAGGCCTAAACAACTTGCGGCTCAGTAGAGAGAGAGCCTGATTGAAGAGCCTTGGAGAAGAATCATCCGAATGTGTAAGGCTTGATCATAGTAGAATTGCCAAGTTACATGAATTTTCACAGTAACGAAACAATACCCCGAACTGGCAGAAAAACTCCAGAAAAACATTATGACTAACCAAACATAAGATCAACATGATTGAGCATGTAATCGAGGCTCATAATCGGCGGAGCACAAGTTTGTTGGACTTCTACTGCCAGTGCCAAACGGTAATGCAGACGGCATCACTGATCATCGGATATCGACCTTAGTTGCAACAAGACTCAGTTTTTGCTCAAGACCGAGTTTAACTAATGGCCGCCCGATGCAGTGCACACGAAACCAGAATTGAGGAGGACATGAGAGATAGACTGTATGCTAGGATGTGAAACCCGAGCATCCAGACATGAGAGGACCTTAGCAAGACGGCCGCGAGTCAGGAAGGCCTCCTCTTCGTCACACATGCCCGCCTACATGGCCCGGCGCCTTGAAACACGTAAGTCGTCTTGGGAGGCCGCGGACGGAGAACTTAGGGCAGCCCGGCCGCCGACAAGGAGCCGGCGATGCCGCTGGACGACTCGGAGCCCGAGCTTTGGAGCCTTCACTAGCTGAGCGTCTCCGTCCATCCGTGAGCCTGTTGGACACATTCGCGTCCCCCTCGTACTTTTTTGTTCAACGGTTGTACCGGGATCAAAAACTTTTTACCATACAATATTGGTACAAAATAAAAATATGCAATGATATATATATATTCTATAAATATACTATAAAAGTATACCTGCTATAAAAATGTACGGTATACTAATAAAACTCTATCGAATTTACCGCGTTCGCCGCTCCTAAAATGATCGTATGGTAGGGGGTAGGGGTAGGGAAGGGTTGCAGGCAGATCAGAAGAGGTGGGCATGCTGCTTGCGGCGGAAGGAAGAAGAGGAAGAGAATGCAGCGAAGCAGCAGCAGGAGGAGAGGTAGAAGGAGGAGATGAAGTAGGAAAAGTAGAGGGAGGGAGGGAAAGCAGGAGAGGTAGAAGGGGGAGGGGAAGGGGGAGAGGTAGAGAGAGGGAGCGCAAGGGGCGGAGTAACAGGAGCAACAGCATGGAGCAGGGGTTCACAAGAGAAGAGCATGAGCATAACAAGGAATATCTGAGATGTTTCAGTTGAAGGTACAATCTGAGCCATCACGAAATGGATGAGCATTGTTGTTTTCATGACGGCAATGCAACACAATGTGAGAGTACAACGTGCAAGAGGCCCTGCAACCCAATGCACAAAAATGAGCGAGCGAGCAAGAGCTTCTTTTGTTTTCAAGTCGTTGGACAAGGCTGTAGAGATAGTTTCAAGCCATTAGATGTCGAGCTCTCAGCTCGACGCGGAGTTACCAAGTACCGCTTTGATTTGTGTAGCTGACAACATCCTCCATTGCAGTGAATTTTTCTCTAACCCCCCAACCCCCACCCTCTGAGCGTCTGGACTCGTCTGTGAGTGCCATTTTTTTTCCTGTTTCATCCTGATTTGAGAGCTTCAGGTCCGTCAGAAATGTCAGCGTCTTCTGGGTGAGTGTTCCCTTAGTCTCAAAGGGGATTGAGGCTCTTGTCGCCTAGCAGCTGTCACCGCTTCACACAAGCCTTCCTCTGATTCGTCATGTCGCAGGGCTGGAGATTCTGATGATGTTCAGAGTAGGCTTTCGGGCACAAGCAGTGCTCTCCAGACTTTGCTGAGGAGACTCGGAAACGGGATGGAAGATTTGTTGCCGAATGCAAGCGGTAAGAGATACTCGTGTGACGCATGTTGCTTGATGGTGTGGTTGACGACTGATTTTTCTAAAATGATGTCTGATTTTCTCTTTTGTTCTTCTAATCTTTTTCTTTTGCTGACATTGCTTTCATGCAACAAGGTCGAGCAAGGATGAAGGAATTGCTTTCCTATCTGAAGGATCATGGGAACGATGTGAAGCAAATGGAGGCTTTGACAGAAATTTGCGAGGTTTGCAGCATTTTTTGGTATCACGACCATGATGACTTGTCATTAGGTCTTGTCTATGGGGCAAGAAGATATTCTCATCGGCTTCAATGTGGACTCATTTTTACCGGTCCATTCCTTCCGCGCACGCTGACGTTCACTCACTGATTTCAGGTTCTTGTTGAATTGCTCAATGCGGAGCACAACCCAGAGATCATGCTTCTCTCGTGCAGAGCTATTACACATATGCTTGAAGTGCTCCCTAAGTCCGCAGCGAAGGTTGTCACTTCTGGGGCAGTTCCTATCTTTTGTCAGAGGCTCCTGAACATTGAATTTATCGATGTTGCCGAACAGTCATTGTTGGCAATTCACAAATTATCTATCGAGCACCCAGAGCCGATAATGAAAGCAAATGGTTTGTCAGCTGTGTTAACTTTCATCGATTTTTTCGATATCAATACTCAAAGAACAGCAGTGATGACTGCCGCGAATATTTGTCGTAATATGTCTGGAGACAGTTTTGTGTATGTCTCAGACATGCTCCAGAATCTTACTTTCCTCCTCTCTAATTCGGATCAAAAAATTGTTGAGAGCTCTTGTATTTGCTTTTCCCGGCTTGTTGATTCGTTTGCAAAATCCTCAGTGCAGCTGGAGCAAATTTCCTCGTACGGAGCACTGCTTCGGCTCTTATCTCTGCTGAGACCCGGCGACCGTGAAAGCAGAGGCCTGACCACTGGTACTTATACCTTGGTCGTTAAGACGCTCGCCATATGCTGCCGGGGATCATCGAGTATCGCAATATCGTTGCTGAAAGAAAACATTGTTCAAACTGTGTTCCACATTATACGAAAGGAGGATGAAAAGCTGGGAGGGAATGCCTTGATCACTGCAGTCGCAGTGCATCGACCGATGGAGCAATTGCTGCACACATTGATGCTTGCGAATGAGGTGTTGCCACCGCTGAGGACGGATGACCGGGTAACTCAGTTTGTGCGTGACATCTCGCATGGTACGGATATGACTCAAGACCTGTACGGGGTCGAAGGCTCACTCTCACAATTGAACAACTTTGTTGAACTGAATCCAGGAGTCCTTGTGGAGTATTCCGAGCTCTTATATCCAATTCTTGTAGATATTTCTGTAACGATTGTAAATGACGCAATGAGGATTACATGTCTCTCGGCTGTTGCAAAACTTTTGGCCAGTTTGCAGAGAGATGAGTTGTACAAAGTTGTAAATGGTTCACAGCTTCTCGGTTACATCTCAGGATTCATCGCTACAGGAAGACCTGCAATTGCTGGTTTGGCTCTTATTGTTGCTGAGATGCTCTTAGAGAAGCTCCCGGAAAAGCTTGCTCCTCACTTTGCCAGGGAAGGAGTTGTACATGAAGTTAATCGACTATGCTCGAAAGAATTGGCAGTCCCCGACACAGCTATGGATGCCCTTCTTGATCATGCCCGGCACTTTCAAGCGACGCAACTACATACGGGATCGGCAGCGGCGGCATGTGCCAGCAGCGATATGCAGCTAGCAAAGGCTTCACAGGTAGCCAAGAGACTGGATGCAGGCGAGATAGAAGTCTTGAAGGATCTGAGAGATTTGTTTTCTTGCGCAAGAGAGACTCCGTCATGTTATCAGATCCTTACAAGTGGGCTAGCTTCAAGCTTGCTTTTATGGCTGCAGCAAAGAGTCCCAGGACGCTTAGTGGCATTCGTCAAGACGTTCTGCATGAAGAATTCCGAAGACGAAGATGCTCCGCTGCAGCTTCTTGTCTCAAAGTTCAACGAGTCTCTGAGTCTGGCGGAATCTTTTCCTATAATTATGAGTGACGCTACGGGCGACATAACGGCTGGCATCAAGTTGCTTGCGCAGCCTTTGAAGATTCGGCTTGTGAGAGATGCGGGAGAGTCTGGCATCGCAGACTACGGAAACAACGTCGTTCTCATTGAGCCATTGGCAACCATTAAGGCTGTCCACGACTTCCTCTGGCCAAAGGTTAGCCAGGGATCTGAGGAAGCTGAGCACTCGTCCCCTGCCATGGGCGCCGCTGGGTTTGATGATCGTTCGGAAGAGAGACGATTGCTGGATCACGAAGATGAAATCGACGAGGACGAGGACGAGGACGAGGACGAGCCGCCTGCTGATATCACTCGACCTACTCCAGCTCGTCCAAACCAGCAGGGCGGGGAAGTAGCTGCTAATGGAGACAAAGTGCAAGCGCTTTCATTCTTTACCAATGGGCGTCAGGTTGCGTTCAAGTGCCCCATCATCCAGGTGATGACCAGCTGACGAGCTCTGTGACTGGCTGATGCTGATGAGTCAGGCTGTCGGGGGCTCCTCGCCGGACTCGGCCAGCCCATACAACATCCGTCAAGTGTGGGATCAGGTGTCGCGTCTTGCTCCCTTCGCCGTCCTCCTTGCTGACTTGTTGCAGGTGCACACCATCACCTACCGGAGCCTACATCCCGAGGAAGCAACTGCCTCCACCTCCCCGTCAGTTGCCGATGCTCAAGCCAAGTTGCATTTCGCTTCCAGCACGGTGCTGCTGTCGAGTGAAGATGCTGTGTATTCCATGCTAGTGGAAGAGTGCGACTTCGTCGACGCTAGCATGAGTGCTGACACCAAGCTGATGCTGAGGACCCTCCGGGCTCTCTCGATCCTCAACAATCAATGGGAGCTGTTGTCTGACGGACAGCCTATGTACCCCCGTAGGCCGATGGTGAGGAGGCCGGGCAGGCGTAACGAGCTTTAAGCATGTCAGCAGATCAAGACGTCGGAGTTTGTGAACGTGAAGCTATCGTGGAAGCTCATGCGACAACTGCAAGACCCTCTGATGCTATGCACAAGCTCCCTGCCTAGTTGGTGTTCGGACCTGGTGAGGTCTTGCTCCCTCAAGATGCTTGTCCTCACGTGGCTGCAGGCGGAGTCTTGTGGATTTTGTTTCCTTTAGAATGTCGCGAGTTCTTCACCAGTTGCACAGCCTTTGGCATTTCACGGGCGTTGCACTCGCTGCAGCAGAGGGTGCAAGGAAGCTCTTCCTCCGATCGCCCTAGCGAGGTGGTCATCTCCCCGAGACTCTCTGACAGTGGAAGCTGACGAGACGCGTCAAGGTGCGAATCAGTAGAATCCAACGGGAGAAGATTCGGGTGAGCCGCGCTCGCGTGCTCCCTTCTGCCATGCGAGCGTTGGAGTTGTACGCCTCCCACAGGTCGTTCCTTTCCGCTTTGGTGACAGCTGGAGGCCTGCTGACCGCGCTTACTTGTTCAGGTCCATCTTGGAGGTGGAGTACTTCGGGGAGGCGGGAACAGGTCTCGGGCCCACACTCGAGTTCTTCACTCTCGTTGCTCAAGCGCTTCAGAACTCCAAGTGAGGGAGACACGCGGATCCGATAGGCGAAGGGTCTGACGTTCTCCTCCTGTCAGGTTGGGGCTATGGAGGGACAGCAGCTCGACGAGAGAGCGAGAGGGCGAGGAGCCTCTCCCATCCCCTGACGATGGTCTTGGCGAGGCCCCGGCACAAGCAGAGACGATCCGCGGCTTCCACGAGATCTGCATCCTCCGCTGCTCCACATGCACGACTGTAAGCGATCGCTCGCTCGCTGCTGCTGCTGCTAATTGTTACCAGGTTTCCTTCCCTCGGTGCGAACGACACTCAACGTTGCTGACCAAGCACCGCGAGGATGGAGCAGCTTCATGCCACAAGTGTGATGAGACGCGGGTGTGGGGGGGAGGGGCGTGCCAGCACTGCAAGGGTTCAGACTCACTGGCGATGGAGTGGTGGATGCTCTCGGACGAGGAGGCCACTTACCTTCACTCCGCGTTCCCGTCCCACCAGCAGGCGATCGACCACATCCTTCTCCAGTGCCCCGAGTGCCGTAGCGTGAACTTTCCCGGGACAGAGCAGAATCTTGTGGTCAATCGCGGAGGCAAGATGACGAGGTTCGTCGCTTCTGAGCGCTCGCTCCTTCTGACAAGCCGCAAGTCAATCAGGTCGAGTGATGCACGAGGTCGACTACAGGGCTGTCACCCGCCACGTCTCCAACTCCTGCTCGCACCTGCCGCTCCTCAAGGTCTTGTACTCCTTCCTCGCCGTCTCTCGCCCTCCTTGCGCTTCAGCTGGACTTCTCCTGACAAGCAGGTCAGGTGCCGGTGAGGCTTGAGGCCGAGGAGTGCGAGGCAGTCGCCAGGTTAGTGAGCAAGACCCCCGAGGCGGAAGAAGGAGTGGACGAGGTCTCGCAAGCCCAGCAGGTTCACACCTACGTGGTCGCACCCTACGGCCTCTTCCCAGCTCCTCTACAGCCAGCCAACGAAAGCGCGACGCTTCCCTGCTTCCTCTTCCTCGGGCGTCTGATGGGGAAGGCGCTGCTTGACCAGAGAAACCTCGACCTGCCCCTGTCGCCAGCGTTCTTCAAGAAGATGGTCGGTCAGGAATTAACGTTCCAAGACCTGGCTCTCATCGACCCAAAGCTGTAAAGGAGGGAGGAGGAGGGAGGAGGAGGGAGGAGGAGGGAGGAAGAGGGAGGAGGCTAGGCAGAACTGCCAGATTGATCGATGCCGTCAGGTATCAAACCCTCATGAAGATGAAGGAGGCGATCAAGCAGCGGGAGACGAACCCCTCGTCGGAGATGACGATCGATGCCTGCCGCATAGAGGATCTCTGCCTCGATATGACCTGCCCGGGCTACCCTGACGTCCTTCTACACCCCGAGGGCAACAACGTTTCCGTGACGGATGCGAACCTGCACGAGTATGAGGGAGCGGAGGGAGCTTCAGAGCTGTGGAGCTGACACTCGAGTAGATACGTGGAGGCTGTGGTGCAGAAGGTGATGGGCGAGGGAGTGGAAAAGCAGTTCGAGCAGTTCAAGAAGGGCTTCGATGAGGTGAACAGAGAGGGAGGAGAGACGAGGCGAGGGGGAACTGAAGGAAAGAGAGAGGCAGAAAGGAGGGGAGAGAGCAGGGGGAGGGGACGGGGTTTGACGATGTCGCAGGTTTTTCCGATGCGGCACCTGCGAGTTTTCAGCCCTGAGGAGCTCGAGCTGCACGTGCGAGGCGACCAGGAGCGATGGGACGCCGAGACCCTCCGAGCCTCCATCCAACCCGACCATGGCTACTCCGAGGCAAGCTTGCCTGTCTTATGGCTCATCAACGTCATGTCCACCATGGACAAGTCCGAGCGCCGTCTACTCATGCGGTTCACCTGCCCCTGCCCCTGCCCCTGCCCCTGCCCCTGCCCCTGCCCCTGCTTCTGCTTCTGCTTCTGCTTCTGCTTCTGCTTCTGCTTCTGCTTCTGCTTCTGCTTCTGCCCCTGCTTCTGCTTCTGCTTCTGCCCCTGCTTCTGCTTCTGCCCCTGCCCCTGCTTCTGCCCCTGCTTCTGCCCCTGCTTCTGCCCCTGCCCCTGCCCCTGCTTCTGCCCCTGCCCCTGCCCCTGCCCCTGCCCCTGCTTCTGCTTCTGCTTCTGCCCCTGCCCCTTCCCCTTCCCCTGCTTCTGCTTCTGCGTCTGCGTCTGCTAACGGGGCAGTCCGACTCTTCCAGCGGGAGGTCTGCGGCGCCTGACCCCACGGCTGACGGTGAGAAGATGAAAACGAGCAAGAAAAGTAGCGAGAAACAGGGGCAGGGGCAGGGGCAGGGGCAGGGGCAGGGGCAGGGGCAGGGGCAGGGGCAGGGGCAGGGGCAGGGGCAGGGGCAGGGGCAGGGGCAGGGGCAGGGGCAGGGGCTGAAGTTGTTGCAGGTTGTGAGGAAGGAAGCGGAGGCGCCTCTGACAGCAGACGACTACCTGCCGTCAGTCATGACGTGTGCCAACTACCTGAAGCTGCCGGTGAGGAGACAATGGAGGATGGAGGGAGCGAGGGCGACGGGGGGAAGATGTTGAGGGTGAGAGGGAGAGACGAGTGGAGAGATGACGTGAAAGCAGGAGTACTCGAGCGAAGAGGTGCTGAGGAAGCAGTTGTTCACAGCGATGCGAGAGGGTCAACTCTGCTTCCTGCTGTCTTGATTGAAGTTTATTGTTTCTGCTCCTCCCTCAGAGTTCATACCGCGTCACGTCCCACATCACACAGGGATCGAAGCCACCAGGCAGCGGCCCGATGATTACTCCAGGCCTTTGACGGCCCAGCAGTGCGTCAGCTGCTTTCTCAGCTGCATCCGCCTATGGGGTGAAATGAGGAGGCGGCGGGAGGAAGGAAGAGCAGAGACACCTGAGCAAAGAAGGCAGCTCGCTCGCGATCTTTCCTCTCCCTACCTCCAACATCAGCACCGACAACACTCACCCCTTCCTCTTCTCCTTCCCCTCCATCTCCACCTTCTTCCTCTTATTTCCATGCGTCCGCCCGTGAAAGTTTGCGTCAAAGTCTTGGGGAAGAAGGACCAAGCCACAACCTGCTCTCTAGAGCATCAGCTCTCGCGCTCCCCCTCCCCCTCATCCTCTCGACTCGTTTCACCTCTGGTGTGTTCACTAGCGCGGTGCTTTGAACGGACTCGGAGTCGATCTGTCAGCAAGGCATCAGCTGAGACAGTCTCTGTGTTCCTCACCCTCTCGATGAAGGCTGGCACTGCTAGTCCGCATGCCAGGTACTGTTCGTCCAGCTGACTCCTTGCTAGCAGCTTCTTGATCTGCTGCCCTTTAGCGCCTACTCCTCCTCCTCCTCCTCCTCCTCCTCCTCCCGCCTTTACCAACTGTGTTGCCTCCCACACGTTGGCTTCTCCTCCCCACAGGCGAATTCTCGAGCACGTCCTGCTGCTCCCTCCTGCTGTGTAGTCCTCGATCTCGAGTTCCACCTACGGTCACGTTACCGGCAACCCCAGCTGCCCCCCAGCACTGCCTGGCAGTAGGTCTGGATGTGCCGATTACTGACCCTCGTCCCCCTCCACACCCAGTGAGCCTCCGCCCCCGGCTGAAGCCCTAAGGTCAGCTGGGAAGCAGCAGGAGGCCAGCAGACCTTGCGCACGTCTGTCTTGGGGATGTAGAGCGTCATGTCCGGCTCCCCCTTGTCCAGCTGCTGGGGCGGCTGCTGGGGGTACGCGCGTGGGAGAGGCGGCGGGACCTCGTCCTCCTTGCCTAGTCGTCCTCGCGCCAGGGCCTGAGAGAGGTTCAGGAGGAGGAGGTGGAGGAGGAGGAGGAGGAGGAGGAGGGACCTCTGAGGGGAGCGAGTCGTCCTTGGGGGCTGGTCGCCTCGTCAGCGTCTCTGGTCGGCGCGTCAGGCGCGTCAGGGTGGGAGGAGTAGAAACCGAGATAGCAGAGAGCTTCGCGGGCTATCCAAGCGTCGAGTGCCTGCTAAAGGTCAGCAGAGGCAGGAAGGAGAGCAAGATAGTGGAAGGCAGGGATGCTTTACCGAGCACGTCAGCTGGAGGTTTGACAACGTTTCTGCTTCCCAGTTGCCTTTCCTCACAGTC